CACGTTGCTTGCACCTAGTTTTATGATAAGTTTGCATTGATACACAAATTAATAAGAAAAAAAAATGAAAACTAAGCTAAATATTAGAGCCTTGACAATCGTAAATTAAGAAGACGTAATTTTAGGTGTTATAACGCATAACTCAACTCTGTTCACAATGGTGATGAAATTCGAGTATATGTAGAAGAGAGGTACATATCACTAGTGTTTAGTATTGCATGATTTCACTATGTAAGAATTCTGAATTATTTTTATGAAGCTCGTTCTCTTTATCAAAATGATATGCTTTCCCCAAAATATCGTGGATCTAAGTTAATAAATATGACATGTTGTATCTTTAGTAAATCTAGCTATGGAACAAGTAGACTAGTAGAGTGGTGAAAATATTTAGAACAGTAGACTTTAATTTTTTTAAAAAATGATTAGGATTGTTTGCTAACTTTTAGGTTTTGGCTTACCGAGCATTTTCAAGAGATTTTTTACTATGAAGAGCACATTTAAATAAATCTATAGAGTTAAATGTTTTGAACACTTCGACAATGATTTCTAATTTAGTTCATCATTTTCTTTTAAAGAAAATTTTATTGATTTCTCGTCGTTGACTTGGGGCGGAGCTAGAAGAAAATAATCGTGTGGACAAATTTAAAAATTATGAGGTTTTTTTTTTTTTTTGAAAATCTTTTTAAAAACCTTGGGCAAAATAACATATTTGAAATTTATTGTGGAGGCAGTGCACGGTAAATCCGCCACTCTCGTTGACATTAAACGTCAATGACCAATCAATTCAAATATAATTTTAGGAGTGCCTGATTAAAATAAGAGGAAATACCTACAAATGGCTGAAAGAAAATACCATATTTCATACATGACCGTTGACCGCTAAATATGTTTTAAAAAAAAAACTTAAAAATATAACTTTAGACACGTTAAAGTCAAAAACATCCCCCAACTTTCTCTTCATAAGAAAATTAACTGCCCCAGTTTTTTTATTCTTAAACCGACCCTTCTGTTAACAAAAATGGTATGTTAACAACTTTCTCATATTATTTTTTAACGTGTTATTAAATTCTTATTTTTTTTTTTCATTTTAATACATT